TGATACCTACTTGAACTGTACCAAACACGATTTTGTACTTGATCAAATTTCAGCTCGTAGAACGAGAAAGGCATGAATCTTAACAGCATCGCAAGTGATAATGGTATTATTAAATAATATCTTTCGAAATGTGTGGTGTTTTTGTAATTATATACGTATATGAATTTTACATTAAATAGTATCGTCATTATTATAAAACAGATTAATAGCGAACTGAAAATATATCCCAATGATGCTATATAAGAAATCCATTTTGGAAATTGATATGAAAAATCTATAACGATAACGTACGAATGATGGTGATGAAAAAAAAAAAAAAAAGAAAAAGAAAAATTTCAATCAACCATTAATAAATAATTTCAATTTTTTTTTTTAAAAAAAAAAAAAAAAAAAAAAACTTACATGAGATATTGAATATAAAATCTCCGCCATAGAAACATACATAATTAAACGAAGCGAAATTCTATTTGAAAAACTTATTTTTTTTAACTTGAAGCGTGTCGTCAAAACAAGTGTCGAGCATAGAATTGAAATGGAATTAAAGACATAATTTATGATATATAAATTATTTTGACGTGTCGCTTCGTTATAAGTCACTATTGTTTGTTCTTTATCCATGTTGTCCGGTAGATAATAATTTACGGTAATGATTAAACCTCCGACAGAATGATCTCGTGTTTGTGAGTCATCAATGAGAGTTTTTACGTCGCCTATAAATTTTTATAAAAATTCTCTAAATATTATTTTAACCGAACCTTTTATTTTTTTTCTGATTTATTTTTTTTATTATCTTGTTCTTAAGGCAACACATGTTTTCTTAAAATTCGCGGTTACCTGTTCCATATTTCGCCATTATTTTGATGACATTTGACGTTTGTTAATTTAACAACTTCGTTTATAATATATACGCTTACAGCTGACATTTTAAAGAAGCAATTTTACCACATTCTCCTACCACAAATACTCTCAAAAGAATACTTTACAATCTTTTTTAAGTGAAATATCGCGTACCAGTACCGTTTGCTGGCCCAGCATCTTGAGTATTTATTTTACTCTTAGTACCAGAAAAGAATGTGAATTATAAAAAATTATATGTATCAATCTTCAACTCTACCAAATAATTTTAAAAGTTGTTTTGGTGTAACATATCCTTGACACAGAAACCTAAATATGATGTTTCAATATTTGGACAAAACTTAAACGTATGACCATAATAAGAACATACATGGCAAGTTTCCTTGTATATACCAAAAGGAGCAACCCAGTTGTTTATCTTTGACAAAGCTACGCCTTTTGCGGTATAAATTATATCTTTTGAATTTGTATACTGTTTTGATAAATTATTAATCACTGCAACTTGATCTTGAAGAATTGATATGATAATCTTAGGTACTTGTACGTAGTCATTATCTATAACATCAAAGTCATTCGTCATTGTTTAATACGCTTGTTGGTAGTTGTATTTGGCAAAAAATATATTAGATAATTTGCTTGCTTATTGGTTTGAACATATAGGCGGATTTGTCTATTCAGAATTAAATAAAATTTTTAGCACTCAAAATATTGCTATAATATCAAATTGAAGCCAGGATAAAAAATTTTATATCACATAATAAAATGAAAAATGAAAATGATAAATGATTTGAAAAGGTTTACTGTGTCTGGAATTGTATTTTTTCTACCAATCTCACATTTGTAAAAAATAAGGATGTTAAACGGCCCTTAAAAAAATTTTGATGGTACTTCTGTGAAACATTTTAACGTTAACGCTACTGTTTAAAATTAATTGGATTTTATCATACTAAAAAATTAATTAATAAACTACATCAATCAAGTTTCATTTTTGGCAAATTTAAAATTTCATTTGAAGTATTTAATGACATTCTTAGAATGACTATTCTTCTACTTATATTACAGGTCGGAAAAAAATAACATGAATGAAATCACTAGGTTAACGGGAATTATATTAATTTATAAACCGATAATTAGTCAATTTTATAACACCAAAAAAAATATACTGTATATAGTGCAATGGGACGATAAAGAGAAAAAACAGATTATTTGAAGTATTTTTATTATATGTTTTAAAAATATAGTGTTTTTAAACAGTCAACATTTTTGGCCGCTTCGGCTTCTATTATAACACGGAATATGAATTTTCTTTATAAATGTTCTATAAAAGTGATTTATATTCTTAATAAAAAAAAATTTCAATTTCGATTTTACATATTATAATTAGACAAGTCATCATCCAATAACATCCAAATTTCTTCATTTGGAATATATTCCTCTAGTCTTACTAAGATAGAATAAAGTATAAAATGGTGTTCACGATCTATTATTGATATTTCCTTGCTTAACTCAAAAAGTTTTAATAATCTCTTTATAATCTAAAAGAACGAACATGCATATATATATATATATATATCAATACATATGCAAGGGGAAAATAAACATTCTAAAACATAAGGAAAACATACCTGTTTTTGAACGGATTCAATTTCATTATCCGGTGAACTCTCAAATTCTCTTGGTATTAAGGATGCTATCTTTTTTACGTTAATATTTTGTATCACCTTCTCAAATCTTTCATCCTGTAATTCATAATATTTAAGAGGAAACACTTTATCCGAATTATTAAACTGGGTTGAACATTGATCTTCTTCCCAACTTAAATTCACTAATCCATTTAATACCACCGTAACTCCATAATCTAATAAAATTTGCCCCTCTCTTGAAATGCCTATAACAACCAAAATGGCATTTAAAGTTCTTACTAACCAATCTAACTTCATCTTTTTCTTGGCTCTTTTACTAGATTCCATGGGTTTAAAGATATGATTACGAATGGCATGAAGGATCCATGAAAATATTAAATCGACATTTTGAGAACCTTCCGTTATTGAAATACCACCAAATGTGCTCAAACAATCTTCCAACGCTCGTGTTAAATATATGATTGCATCTACACGTCCTAGTTCTGACATAGTACTTATAGTAACTGCATATTTTTTAAGTTCCTTCTCATCCAATTTAAGATTATCCTTTGATCGAGAAGTTTTTGAGAAATGGTCCAAATCGTCAATAGAAAATATGCAAGTTTGCGTTGCTAAGCGAGTAATGTATACTTGTGTTTTGGAAGTTGGGGATGGTATACCATGATAAACATTCCTTAGTAAAACAAGTAGATCTTGCCGAAGTGGTTTCAATGACTCGGCGTATGATGCATTATCTGAAGACATATAATCGCTCATTGTTGTAAGGAAATCAATTTGCAATTCCTAAAAATTTGAATTCAAGATATCAATCAATAGATTTTCATTCGTAATACATATACAAATATTATCATACCTCAACTTTTGTATCCCCGAGATTTTCAATTTCATCAAATAAACTTTTCACCATACCACTTACGATCTCGTACACTCTAGAATCAGGCATAACCACCTTTTTCGCAATATTTTCAATACCTCGCTTTCGAACAACTTTTGCACCTGTTTCTACTTTAGTCATATTTTTCTCAAATCCATAAAGTTCTAAAATTTTACAAAGTCCTTCATTAACAAGCAATTTTTTATATTCCATTTTATAGGTTTCACCTTCTCCTTCATGTAATATCTTAGGAAATTTCATCAATACATATATAAGAAACTCCATTAACGAAGTCGAATAATCACAATGTCGAGTGGCCATCAAAACGCATTGATAATGTAGATCATAAGTTTCGAAGAATGGTGTATTAAATCTTGTAAAAAGAGGGAACCAATCAACTGGGGGCAATATCATGTTCACATCCGAAAAAGTGTTAATAATCAAGCTTCCCGCTTCAATTGGTATTGGAGAACCTGCATTATTTCCTTTAACATTTCCTTTAACATTTTGAAAAGAAAAAAAAATTTAAATTAAATTAAATATCTGGACAATTCAAAAAAAGGAAAAAAAAATTGAAAGCTTACTTTGAGAAACTTCGACAAGTTTATCAAATAAAATTTTTAAGTAACTTTTCGCCGGTAACCTTGAATAATCTCTTGGCTCTGTACTACTAATCCTTCTAAACTCATTTCCTATTTCTGAAATTCTTTCTACAATCTGCATTAAACATGACAAAACGATCGTAGCCAATCTTCCACCCTTCACATCATTCATCATCACTCTAGAAGATTGTTGTTGTCCAAGTCCAGCAATATTTTGTAAGGTATCCAAGACATTCGTAACCATTGTCGAAGAAGATGAAGTAAAGAAATATGAATTTGTAGTTTGTGTGGAAGAAAAATAATGTACACCCAATAAAGATCCCAAGGTTATAATTGCAGCATGGCGTTTGGCAGTATTAACACCAGATGATGTCAGAGTTTGAATTTGTGAGTGCACTTGCGTATTAAATGCGGAAAGATTAAGAGACGATTGTTTTATTGAAAGAGCAGTTTGCAAACGGTGAGAATATGTTTGTGAAAAATGAAAATAATATTCTGCCCACTCGAGCTGAATATCATTAAGCCAATAAAAAAATAACAATTTAAATCAAAATATATAAAAAGATTTATTTAATTTCAAAAAAAAAAAAATTTTACCTCATCACTTGCAATTTGTGTGGCTTTCTTAAAGATCTCGACAATCTCTTCATTAGGGTCCTCACCTTTTGAAAAACCAACCAACCATGCTGAGCCAGCAATTGTACGTTTAATATTTTCATCAATTCTACCTTCGGTATTTACAAATTCTTTCAAATCCGATAGACATTTTTGATAAATTTGTTCAATTGCATCTTTGTATTCATGATCAATACTTGATAACCCCAGCAAAACGCCAAAAGCAGAATCAATTTGTGGTGTATTTGAATGATTGACAGATAATATCGGTGAAGATAAGAAGTCGGTAAGAAAATTAATTGTTTGAGAACAAATGGTTTCCATTTCAAATGTCTTTGTTGGAGAAGATGCGATACATGAGATGAGAAATCCAAGGGAAAATCCTGCTCCAAACAAAGTCCACTCTGACATGGCACTTCATAAAATAACAAAATTTTTAGACCTTTTCAACGTTTGAATTAAAAAAAAAAAAAAAATAGACCTATTAAACTACTATACCTTTCATCTACTTCACATAATTTTGTGACCAAAGTATTAACAACTCCCTCTAGTAACATTTCATTCATCATAACTAAAGTTGATAAGTGGCCTAAAGCCATCATTACACTATATTGAACCTCATCACTTGTCACGAGACTCGAATCTCGCTGATTGGAAACTATTGCAGCGTCAACCAAAAAATTTTCTAACAAATGATGCAGAAATTTCGTTGTGTGTGCTTGTGCTGACGGGATGTCCAATGATTTTAATGCCAAGCATAGTCCTAAATATGTAAGTAGGAAAATTTTAAGTAAGACAAAATTATCAAATACTCCAAGAATTGACATAAGAATCGACTTAACCTGTAATTGCAAAAATAACATTCTGAGTAACAGCAGGAAATCTTGCATCAATTAAACGTTTCATCAAATCTTCAATCAAAGATTTGACGATGCTTTCCCCATCACTCTGTTCATTCGTCTTTGATAAAACTTCTTGTAATCCCATGACAAAAAAGTTATTCCATTCGGCAACACATCCGACTCGAATTATCCAATGGTCTGTCAGTGTAATATCTTGAATAGCATTGGTAAGTAATTTATAAAATCTAGAAGACTCGACATGTATATTAGGCTTGACGCTTTCATCTTCACTTTCTTCAATGATAGGAGGCTTAAAACATCTTAATGAAGCAAGAGCAATTCCAACTCTTAATCCAGGATTTAACCTTCCGCTCTCCCAATCATCAACAATTTCTGAGCCAACCAAGGTTAACCTTTGTTTGACCTTTAAGAAATTTTCACTTTCGAGTCCTATGCTTGATTTACTACCAGCTCTACCAGTGATCCCTTTAAACAAGCCGCGTCTCATACTATCAATTTCATAAGAAACAAATTTGCTGAATAAAAGTCGCCATTCCTCAATTTTGACTAAATCTTGACTATTAAAGATTTGATCCAATAATATCTTTGGAGATTCCGGAAAATACTCAAATAAAATTTCCGTCACGCTAAATCGAGTTATCGCTATTAATCCATGCTTTAATATTTGTATATTAGATTGAATTTGGAAAAGTACTGAATCATTAATACAAATTTCTTCTTGTGGTTCTTGATTAGGATCTGAAAACTTGGATCGATAATTTGGAAAAATCAATGGACACAAATATACTGATAATATGTCCTGCTTGAATTCATTATATACATCGGTATCTGAAAAAGTAGTGAATCAAAAAAACTAGGTTGATCAAAGAATAGAATCATTTGAAAAATATTAAATGTGATTAAATACCTTCATTTTGCGCCACAAGTCGGTAAAATTGACATAACCTAGCAATCAATTTTACATTTAAATGTTTACTTTGCATTATCGCATCAGCCACATATGACATCAAGACAGTCCAAACTGTAAAGAAAAATTATGAATAAAAGAAAAGTTAAGAAAACATGAATCAAAAAATGTTCCTAATACAGTACATACCTGCCCTACTATCTATAACCGTAGCTTCAACACATAAATTTAAAGATTCAATTATCAGACATAAACTATTCGGATGAAGAATTGTAGACTGAAGAAGGCTTGACATGAAAGGAATAACTTCCTCGGCATAATCTCTCGCTTTTGATTTGCAAATATCTCTAAAACAAATAATCATTGTTTTTTTTAAAAAAAAATTTCAAATACTAAACGGTTAATGAAATTTCTTAAATTACCTAATTGTAGTTAAAGCCGCCACCTCAACCTCAAACCTTTCACCTTTCACTTCTTCAATATTTATACGTGAATGATTAAGTTTCCTATTTTTAACCCATTCTCCCAAAATGAATCTCAACGATTTCCAACATCTTCTTTGTCTTTCCCAGAGTTTATATAAAACTCTGATTCCTACAGCTTTTAATCTTGTATCTCTGTCAACTTGAACAAGACTCATTGTAATCTTCAATACTTTTGCAGTTATAATCGGATCCTTGGGGGAAATCAGTGAAGGTAAAGATTGATGTAAAATATAAGGATGAATTGAAGACAAATCATCATTTCTTAAAATAAAAAGTATCAACAAAAATATAGGAAACTTTTGTGATTGAGCCAAAGAAATATTATCATTTATAATAGAAATGATATCATTTAAAGCCTGGATTTGTACATACTCCTTATTATGAAACAAATAAGGAATGTGAAAAAGAGGAAAAAATGGTGATTTTAAATCATCAATTCGAAATACATCAGAGAGAGGAAATGATTTTAAGAGATTGTGAGCTTCTGATAAAATCTCCGCAAGATTTCCAGTAATGAACCTTGAAGATAAGCATTTGGAAACCTAAGATAAGTTTGTATTAATAACGATTAATTAAATAGTTACATTAATTTCATTTATTTGAATAATTAAGACGACAAACCTCTTCTAAAGACTTTTGATTAGAGGTACTTTGAAGATTGTGTAACTTCTGTATCTTTAAAATAATTTCCATGGCAATATTCCTTGTCTCATCTTGCGTTAAATCAGATATTATTTGAAATAAAGGTAAGATTGCTATATTTATTAATTCTGGATTTACATCTTGTTCATCTAACTTTGTTTCAATTATTTCCTTCATAATTTTAAGAATTAAGGATTGACTTTCACACGAATGAGTATTTAACAGCAAAAAAGTTAAAGATGACCACAGTAATATAAAACTTGGCAATGATATCCTATTCGGAGATTCATAATGAAGTTTTGATAACTTAAAAAGTAAAGCTACATAATGACTTGTAGGTAAATTAGATTGATGCGCATCACATGCAATAGAAAGAATTTGAATACCAAGGATATTACTAAATTCTTTCGAAAAAGATGGGATGAAACTATTACTGAGGTAAGGTACACTCATGATATTAACAAGTGATTGCATTAATACATAGAACGTGCCACTTGCAACATAATGCGAATTAATTGGAGTAAGTGAAATCCTTTGAACCACCGAAAGCAAATATTTTAAAGTATACTCCCTTAATTCATTAAAATCTTTATTATCAACATCTTGAGACACAATTCGAATGAGAAAATGTATCAAAGCAAATGACCATTGTTCATTTTTCTTTTGAGACCTGTCTAAAAAGACGAAATCCAAGAATGGTCGAATCATTTCCAACTTATTTCGTAAACATGCAGATTTTTTCTCGGAAGGTTTTGATTCAAGTCTTGATACATCAAAAATTCTTTCAATTTGTGCAAATAAGTATAACCAAGATTCATTTGACTTTGTTGAAATGATTAGAATAAAGGGATGTATTCTACGATCGTGATCCGTTTTAACACTAAATGGACATTTATATTCTGATGAAGAATCGGTTTGAGATTCCACTTGGTATATCAAAACGTCAGTAATTCCTTTTATGACATTATCAAGTAAAACTTCCGATAGTGTTAACGACAAATCTGTTAATTTATTCAAAATAATATCCAAAGATAAAATTTCTGATCGAACAAGTGAAACAATTTTATTAACAGCATTGGAAGATGTTATCCCAGATTGAGCTGTAACAAAAGGCAAAAGCTGCTCCCATTGTGAAGGGTTTTCAATTATAGTTTGGGTCACCTTTTGAACAGTTTGAATAGAAATAAACCTATGTTGTAATTCCATTTTTTTTTTTAAGGAAAAGAGAACAATCGGGAATTCACTTTTGTTTGTTGCATGTAGTCGATCATTAAATAAGCTTGAATTTCACGTGAAACAAATTGTCAGGTGATATACACCAACAATTCAATGTTGTTTAAAGTGTGGACTCAAAATTAAATTATCGTAAAATTTATTTTTTTATAAAATATAAAAAAGATAATAATTCAAATGTGATGCGACGTCTAAATCCAAACCTAGGTTTATTACTTTTTACCTTAGAAATAAACCGCATAAATTAAAGTAAACTCGGGTTATATATAATCTATTTCCTAATAAATAATTAAATAATTTTGATAAAAATTGAATGAATGAATACTCTCTCAAATGGTAAGAGGATCATACTCATGATGAGAGTTAATATCATTATAAGCACTATAATCATCATCAGATGATGATGACGAATCGTAAGGAACATTATCGGGTTCAAAACATCCTGTCTTGCTACTTCCGTCATCATAATAACAATCAATCCCAACATCTACAGAGTCCTCATCCCCTAAATAATCATCTAAATCATCATCCAGTCTACTTAAATCATCAGTACCTTCATTACTAATGGTAGGTGAGACGGCGTTATGTTCTCGGAAATCATTTATATGATTTATGCTACTTCCAGCATCACCGTTTCTTTCAGAGAAGCGATTATTAACATCGTGATATCTTTGTTGACGTAACTCTCGTCTAATCGTCTCACGACCTTTTTGGATTGCTCTCTCAATCCTAAGACGATTCGAAATCATGTGCAATTTGGGCCAAGTTACTCGCTGACCAACCGTAATCATCCTTGCGAGTCGTTCGCGATCTGGATCGGTCAGAATATAAAAAAAATCTAAAAAACTTGAATGTGGCCATATCGTTATGTTTCCTTCAAACTTTTGTAACCAAATTGAGCTCCAATCCTGGTCAGCAACCTTTGGCAAGAGGTCAAGGTCACGTATCCATTTAAGCCACTTATTAAGGTCTAATTTTAAATATTGTTCAATGCTAGCAACCAAAAATCCACCTCGCCAGCCTTTTCCATGACGATGAGTCACCGGTCTACCGATCGAACCACGAGGAGCATAAAAGAAAAGATGAATATGCGGATTCACCTGGGAAACGACGGTATTTTTAACATTAAAATGCATATTTAAAGGTTGAACGGGAATGTCTGTGCGGAGCGATCCATCCTTCCATTTATAACCATAATTATATGGTATAATTGAACCATCCTTTAACTTTTGCATTAATACAACGGGATTTAATATACCAGGAACAGCAGCGCTAGCGATAACTATTGTAAAAGTAATGGTAACAATATAATAATACCCACAACAACAACAACAACAACAATAATAATAATAATAATAAAAATAATTTTTAATATAAAAACGATATATTTTAAAAACTTGATAAATTTATGGTATTTACCTGCTGACCAAATAACGCAGTCAGGTGCGGTTATGTAATTTATGACCTTTGGAGGGGAGTGCGGATCGTAGGGAATTACTGAAATATTTAAAATTCTCCCGGTTCTTTCATACGCTTCTTTGAAGGTTAAACTTCCTCTAGTTATCCACTGAACTTTTCGAGCCCAATCACATGCATCGAATCTAGCACCGGTCTTCCACCACCTCTTACACCATACAAGAAACGGATCGGAGCATGGATTTAACCGAGTATATAATTCGGGGGTCAATATTTGATCCAACTCCTCGTCAGTTCTTACACAAATCAATGCGGCTATCAATCCACCTGCACTGGTTCCGGAAAACACAGATGGTAAAAGTTTTGCGTCAAAAAGAGCTTTCACAACACCCAAGTGATAATATCCAAAACTAGCACCGCCGCTAAGGCAAAGCGCCGATCGTCCATAATTTTTGCAAGTATTTTTAAAGAGTTCATGTTTTTCCTTAATCGATAATGATTTTGTGGCCCTTGCAAATTCAAGAGATTGGGTTACTAAAAGGAAAACACAAAAGGATAAGGTTAATATTATATGATAACCTCATCATAACTTGAGCAGGATCATTAGAATGCGAACCTTCATTAACATATTCCTCGACAACATTTTTTGTTCCATAGTAAGAATGAGAATATAATCTAACGTTCTCAATCCCCGCATAATTATGTTTAACACAATTTTGGAGGACATTTATCAATTTCTGTGGGTTTTCGGTAGCACCTTGACGTAAAGATCTCAAATCTCGATCGACTTTTAGCAAAAGGCTATAATCATAATAACCATAAGGAATTTCCTTTTTCCATTCATCATATTTGAAATGTGTATCTATCTCCTTTGCAGCTACAATCCAATCTTCATAATTTTTGGTATTACGCATCTTCTCTCTCAAGAGTCGACATTTTCCTCTCCTTGATTTGAAAGTAGTGTATTGAAATATTCATATAAAAATAATATCATCGTTTTAAAATCATTGACTTTAAAAATTTTACCATTGATAAAAATACTCCCAAAAATTGACGATTTGTCGAATCAGAATATATAAAAATAATTCGAGAAAGATGATCGCGAAAATTAAGGACTAAACGAAGAGATGTTGCACAATGGATAAATAGATTGTCGTAAATCATTATTATTTTAAATTAAATATAATCACCTACCATCAAAGGATACCTGATAATATGATATGAATATCCTTCAAATTCTTTAGGAGCTTTTTTCGTTTTTACTTTTTGGCGAGTTGGCATGAAATCGGTTACAGCTGCAATGTGCTCAGTTTGATCGGATTCTGGATCATTCGAAAGAGCTTTAGCGAAAGCTTTTATATGTACTTCGTTAACAAATTCTAATTCCAATTCATTATGTGAAGGATTTTCCTTTACTTTTGAATGTTCCGACTTATTTAGAGAACAATTATTATGAGATTTTATGTCCTTATTTGCCATTTTGATTTTAATATATATAAATATATCATTAAATAAAGAAATTATCAAAATTCGAAAGAGGATTTTTTTTTTTTTTTTCATTACCCGTATTTATTCAAAATTATGGGCGTTTTAAAAGTTTTTATATATATAAAATAATAAACTAAAAACAAAACAAGAAATGGGGGGAATCCGGCGCTAATCATATGAGTATCATATGTGGGACAAATTAATATAGATCGGAATGACGATTTAAAATGTCAATTATTTAAATGACGTTATAAATTTTACAAAAACACATTTCAGATTTGATTGACGATCTTTGGAAAATCACCAGTTTTTATTTATTTTTTTTTTTTCCTTCAACTAGTCTATCATGTCTACAAATAATCCCGGCGAAGAAGAATTATACCAGACGGTCAAGAGTCTTTGTTGAATTGGAAAGTTATCGACGCCATACGATCTGCATGCGTATGCTTCGAGATTTAATGCTATGCTACATTCGGAAAAAGAATCCGAATTTGCGAGATTTGCTTACTCGTTCGAGTCATCAATAAAAAGGAGTTGATTGAAGAATGGAAGAATCCTATGGAACTTATTGATATAATTCTCAAGTAATTTAATTCATGATGACCCCTGAACAAACAGGAAAAGGAGAAGGAAGCTTTTCTAAGGATGAAATATAATCGGGAGTCCCGTGACAAAGCACTTAGCTTGCTTCATAGAAAGAGGAGAATGAAGTTAAAATTGAATATAAAGAATCAGATGTTTCCGAATTTGAAGAATCGAATGTAAACAAAGCAGTGAAAGTAAATACTAGAAGGAAATTATTCCTGAAAAGATATTGGCTACAAATTAAACAAACATAATTATTTTCTTTTTCGTTAAATCTTCTCGAATTCTCAGACCAAATTCTGACATTCAAGAATCCCTCTGCCTATGAAAGAAGTTTGCCTGGAATTTTATCCCTAATATTTTTTATGGCTTCTAGTGCTATTCCTAAATTAGTAGAACCGTGCTTTGTAATTAAATGATAAGTTCCCGTGATTTTTTACACGTGAACTTTGGATTATGGAATTGATCTGCATACATCAGAAATTAATTTTTTAATCTTGCGTTCTCTTTACAACAAAATATGGCGACAAAAAATAAAAAAGGGCCAACTCAGGTTTGCAATAATTTTTTATAAAAAAAAATTCATTACTCAACATCAACTTATTTACTTATATTATTTAATAATGTGTAGTCCGAGTTAATGGTGAAAGCATGTAGTGAAATCGTCAAAGAATTAGTTATAGCACAAGAGAATTCAAGAGACATTAATCTAAATGGGTTGAAAACTAAATATTCTCGATTGAATAAATTGAATAATCAACCGAAATTAGTTGATATCATAGCAGCTATACCTGAACAATATAAGCAGGCCTTATTACCTAAACTTAAAGCTAAACCAGTTAGAACAGCTTCAGGAATTGCGGTGGTGGCGGTTATGTGTAAACCACATAGATGTCCACATATTGCGGTAACAGGGAATGTTTGTGTATATTGTCCGGGAGGACCAGATTCAGATTTTGAATATTCAACGCAGTCTTATACAGGTTATGAACCAACTAGTATGAGAGCAATAAGAGCAAGGTATGATCCTTTGGAACAAGCAAGGGGAAGAGTTGACCAATTGAAAAGTCTTGGACATAACGTTGATAAAGTTGAATATATTATCATGGGTGGTACATTTATGTCATTACCTGAAGATTATAGAAATTGGTTTATCGCTAATTTACATAATGCATTGTCTGGACATATGACAACTGATGTCGATGAATCCGTGAGGTATTCGGAACAAAGTATGACGAAATGTATTGGGATCACCATTGAAACACGTCCTGATTATTGCCTTAAACCTCATTTGAGTCAAATGTTAAGATATGGATGTACTCGATTGGAGATTGGAGTTCAAAGCGTATATGAGGATGTTGCAAGAGATACGAATAGGGGTCATACGGTTAAGGCGGTAACAGAAACATTTCAATTAGCAAAAGACACTGGATATAAAGTAGTTTCACATATGATGCCCGATTTACCGAATGTTGGAATGGAAC